TCACCTTTTTCTCAAAAGATACAAAAAACTGTAAAATCTTCAAAAACTAAAAACATCAACACTTTCAAGCAAACAAACAGTCTTTCTGCCAGAACTACGTTATCCTTGATTCTCCATCAAAAGTGGAGATACGTAGGAGCAAGGCTAGTCCTTGTCAGGTTCACTTCCCAAAAATCCAAAATCATTTCAGAACAACTTTTCAAACAACTTCCAAACAAACATCTCAAACAGTTTCAAAAGAACTACGTAACCCTGATTTCTCGTTCTGAATGAGAATACGTAGGAGCAAGGTCAATCCTTGTCGGGCCCAAAAAACTAAAAAATATATTTTGTTTTTTTTATAATTTTATTTTAGGGGATAGTTAAACATTTGGAAAACCACATCATATTCGTGCATTTAGTTAAAGGTACTGCCTTAGGGCAGGCGTTGTGGGGTGCTAACACCTTCCCCACGCGTAACCGACTCACGAACCCAAAATATGGTTTTCGAGGACAGTGCTTTATCGTTTTAAGGTTTTTACATAGATTTCCAAAATAAACTATGGTGGCGACTCCAAAATCTCTTTTCAAAACCCGTTTCCTTATTTGGATCGTCGTCCCGTCGCGATTCCGATTGCGACAGCCACATTCGACAATCAACCATTCGGTCATAAGACCTCTTCCATCCGGCCTCAAGTACTTAGCCAAAACTGGCATCAAGTGTCCAGCCTCACAAATACTCAGCCAACCATTCGGCCCCAATCGTTCGGCCATTCGGCCTCTCTACCATTCAAATACTTAACCAAATTAGTCAATTATACGGCTATTCGGCCTTGTATATGGCCATTCGGCCTTCAATATATGCTCATTCGGCCTCTACCATACGGTCATCCGTCCTCCTTGGCCATCAATCTCTGGTCGTTCGACCTCTACTACTCGGCCTTTGATGGCCTCGAACTTCACGGAATTAGGTATCGAGCGTTCAGTCTCGGCAGTTTGTCCTTAAGGCACGACCCGTTTCATCCTTCTAGCCAGTCATCTTAATCAACGAACAACGAAGACAGAAAAAAGGCCAATAGAAGATCCCTTCCGTAGCAGGAAGGCCGTAAACATAACCCCTTTGCATAATAAAATCATGCTTGGGCTTGTGGGGGCTTATATGTACTGTACGATCCTCCCTACCCCACATGTCGAACGGTCCTTAGGTCGTACGGTCCTCCCTACCCCACATGCCGAACGGTCCTTAGGCCGTACGGTCCTTAGGCCGTACAGTCCTCCCTACCTCATATGTCGAACGATCCTTAGGCCGACCACCAGGCCAACAACCCTGGCCAGCCAACCACCAGGCCGACTGTATGGTTGGATTATAAACAGTAATAACTCATTAAAGCTTCTAATGAAGATTAAGGCGTGATTGGGTCGTCATTAGGCCGGCGAAAGGTAAAAACCTATTACAACAAGTATAATTAAGGCGTCATTGGGTCGTCATTATTTTTATTTTAATTGATTATATTACTTCTTATAGGTTAATTAATTTTTTACTCAAATTTTATTTGGATAAAATACAAAAGTTCTTATAATTTATTTTTTAAAATATAAAATTAATAATACGAATTAAAACACTACATTTTCCAATTCTTACATTTAATAAAGCAATGACACTTTAAATAAAAAATCTAATTATTTAAAAGTAAGAATGCTACGAACGGTTGATATTTACGTATCTTCGTTTCTAAATTGAGGAACTCTGAAGAAACTGTTGAGGGACTTAACAGGTACATTATAAAAAAGAGTAAAAAAAAGTTGGTTTAAGTCTAATCTATTGAAAACTTTCAATTTAAGACTTAATAGATTGAGATATATCAAAACATTATCTTAACTTTACTCATGATAACTAGGGAAAAAAATGTCTTAAAAATATGATCACTTATATCATGATATCATAAGATTTGAGAAATAAGTGACAAAATCAGTACCTCACGTTTCACTTTAGGATCTTCTTAGATAATTACCAACCATTGATTAAATAGGTGCAAGAAAAAGAGAGCCTTATGATATTCGAAAAAAAGAATTTACCGAAAAGATACATCAATAATTAAATTTTATATTTTAATTCATATAAAAGATTAACACTAAGTCTAATTTAAAATTTTGAAACAAAAATGATTTCTCAATAAAAAAATATTTCTTTTATACTATCATTTATATGTATTTATATAAATTGATCAAAACTAATCATCACACTTCTAATATTTTCAATGAGTTTTTTTTATAGAAATAATTAATCAGAAAACACAATAACAATAAAAACCGAACCCAAAATCTTAAAATAGTTTATAAATTTTGATAAAATATTTAACTTTCTTGTATCTATCAAATGTTAGAAGTGCAGTCAAACTTAAATACCAACAGCCCACCTACATGATGTGTTGATAGAATCATTAGATTAAAAGTTCCAGATGAGGAAGAAAAACACCGCTTAAAATCATTTAAAAATAGGTTGAATTATTAAGAAGCAAAACTTTAAACCTAACTTAATCACATAAGATAAATTGATTTTATATCTAATAATCCACGACGTGTGACTTTCAACGTGAATGTAACTCAGTGATTGGTTATAAATGGTTGCAGATATATTTTGGTGTGTTGAATTCCTAATCACGAATAAAAACAAAACATTGATGATGTTATGTCAGAGAGGCTCATCATGCGAAACTTGTTTGAAACATTTTGTGTTGGGGCCACAGCGCAATATCTATCACCTCCAAGAGAAGATAATCATGAGAGAGCCACACCAGAGTGATCCAAAAAACTCAGAAAGAATGCTTAAAACTGAGAATCATTCATGCCCTTCTCATCACCATGAGTTCCATTTCTAGTCCAGCCATAGACACACCAACAACAAAACACATCATGACCTCGGATTCCCATGTAAGTTTTTCATCTAATCACCAAGGTTGGTCCATGTTTTGGAATCGTTAATGATATATCTTAATGTATTTTCTCTTTAAGTTGTCTGAAAAATCTTGTTCTAAATACATTATTTCATTCGTTTTCATTTTGTATATGAGTCACCATTTTCATGGTGGTTGTAACTTGGAATAGGGTTTGTCAGATTCAAGGACAATAGGGGAACGTGTGTGTGCAGCGTTGACGCCATTGATGGTGGCTGTCGCAGGTTGTTTGGGTTATTGCTCAAACAGCGTTGTGCAGGAGAACAAACGTTGTCCCTACACTGCTGAGGATTTCGCAACCCTTGCTGCTTCAACAAGATGTAAATAATTAACCTTTATTTGTATGGCTTTACTAAAAGTTTATCTAAATAGATCGTTCATCGAAAATAGTAAACGTTTTTATTTTAAAAATAATATTTTCACCTGATAATTAATCAATTAGCTAAATGATTAGTACACTCATACATTGAATTGCTTTAGGTTACTCTCTCAAACTAATTTCTCTATTTAAATTCCACTGTATTGGTACATATATTTGTGTGAAGGTTTCCCTCAAAGTTTCAATCACCATTTCATCCCTAATTTTTCTTTTTAATTGTGATACATAACTTTAAACTATATAATTAGTGTTTATTTACTACATGCATTATGATAGGTTTTCCAACAGAAAAAAAAGGTGAAATAACTTTAAATTTTTTAATTTAAAATCAATTTAGATATGCTAATTTTTGAAGAAATAATTAAATAAAATACTTGTCGTAATAATGTTGATAATGCAGTCACAATTAAGGAAGTGGAGGCATTGCATGTGTTGTTTAAAAGGTTAAGCAGCACCCTAATCGATGATGGTTTTATTCACAAGGTAACTTTCATTTTCTATTTTCTTGCTTCTTCTTTCTAATATTTTGCTTCTTTTTCAATAATGTTTCTATTTGAGATACACTGTATTTCATTTATTTTTAACATCAATTTTGCATGGACTTCTTGTGTTTTTGGTATTACTTTGTAGATGGAATGGAGGAAAATTTATCAATGTATTTTTCCAATGATTTTTAAGATAAATAATAAAATTCTAAAATATAATAATGTGAAAAACCTTAGATTATTGTAATTGTACCCCTCCCCAATGGGAACCAAAATTATAATAAATTTATTTCTTACAAAAAATCATTAAATAGGAGGGAGGATATTGCATAAACTATCATCTACCAAACATTTATGTTGAGGATTTCATTTTGGTCAATGATGCAATAATATTGATCTTAGTATGATTTTTCTATTGTAGGAGGAGCTTCAATTGGCATTGTTTCAGACACCAAATGGAAAATATTTTTTCTTTGATCGAGTAAGCAATATCTGTGTTAACAAAAATATGTTTAATCTTATACTTAAATTCTTAACAAAAATAAACATAAGAGAATACTTACATTACTATCGAAACCTCATGCTTAATACTAAAATAAAATATTAACATAATCCAGTTATTGTAACCATGAAATTGTACAATTTAAAATCTTAAATTATGTAATCTGAAATATTACATTACATAATTTTGAATAAAAATTCATTTTTCAGGTTTTTGATGTTTTTGACCAAAAAAGAAATGGTGTAATTGAGTTTGACGAATTTGTCCTTGCTCTCAGTGTTTTCCATCCATATGCCCCCATAGGTGAAAAGATTGATTGTATGTTCAAACTGAAGAGATTTTTTTCATTAAATGAAATTAAATTTTTCTTCACATCTAATCTTTGTCCCTTCATGACTTCTTGTAGTTGCATTTAAGCTCTATGACCTCAACCAAACTGGATTTATCGGAAGAGAGGAAGTAAGTGTACTTTTGTGGTATAAGTTTTATTGTTCATGCATTTCCTTAATTAATATGGTGATCTTTAATTAGAACAAAAAAATAATTTTCTACATAATTTTCCTTGATAAATTTGTTTTTATTAAGAGTAGATTATATTTCTGTCTTTTTTTTATATTATTCACATATTTTTTTAAGGGTGTTAAAGTGAGTCATTTTAATTTATAGGAATTGGTCTACTATAGGTTGAATTCAGTTTTATTTTTTTAGTGAGTTAGAAATTTTGTAATCCAATTTAACCCATCATATGTTATGAATTGACTCACTTGAAATTGTTCATTTAATTTATCTTATATATTTATCATAATATAATCATAGCGTATTAACTTGATTTATTTTATTATATCAGTACAATAGAAGTCTTCACGTATTTTACCAAACATTATTATAAAGATAATGGTTGAAAAATTAAAGTGTCAACCTACCTAATTTGTAAATAAAAAAAATTAAAAGTTTAACTACTATTTTGGTTTCTATATTGTGGGCTTTGATTCATTTTGGTCTCAATATTTGTTTTTTTTTCAAGTCTCATTATGTGTTAAATCAACTCAATGTGATCCTTTCCGTTAAATTGGGTTAACACAAATTGAAAGGCGATCATGTTTCAGTCTAATAAAAAATTTAGTTAATAATTTTGTTCCTATATTCTTTTTTGGACTCAATTGAGTTCTTATATTATTTAAATATAGACAATGTGGTCCCATTTTCTTCATTTTCATCCTTAACAAAATTTGGGAATAAATTCAAAAGCCATAATTAGATTCATGTGTCTATCTTCAACGATGTAGTGGACAAAAATAAAGATATTAGATATAAAATAGTCGATCTTAGATCTAAAGGAGATGATTTTAGTGAGATTGTGTCACTAGAGAAGGAGTTAAAAAGAGAACAAAGAATTTGGACTCATACATGATTACCTCCTAACAACGTTAATGTTAATTTCACAAAAGAGGTCACATTGTCTCCTTTTACTATTTAACCTACAAATTAAGTAAATCAAGATTCAATTTGACCCATATTTAAAAATTTTTGAAATTTTTACTACTTAACACGATTTAAATCTTGTCGGTTGAAACCCATTTTGGAGACTTAAAAAAATTCTTTTATTATTTTGACATCACCCCTTTATAAACTATATTAACCTCTCTTAATTACTTTCAAAAATATTATAATGGTAATTATTATAAACGAGTGTAATCCAAAACCATATACTTTATTAATTATTTATGGTTAGAAATAACTATTGTAACATCTTATAGGAGGTCTTTAACAAATACAAGGTGAGATTAACATATACTACTATTATTATAACTATAACTGAAAACTACATGAAATATAATCAAGAAACTACGTATTGATTGGTTATTTGGTTATATGGTTTCCTTGGTTTTTAGGTGAAGCAAATGGTTGTAGCCATTTTGATTGAATCAGACGTGAATCTTCCTGATGATCTTCTTGATGCTATTGTGGACAAGGTTATTACTTTCTAACCAAACATGAAAAGGTAGCTTCAATATGAAACATGCTCATTATAGGACATTCACAACTCTCTTTTTTTCAGACAATTGCTGATGTGGATAAGGACAGTGATGGTAAAATCAGTAAAGAAGATTGGAAAGCTTTTGTGAGTGAAAATCCATCCCTCTTGATGAACATGACACTTCCTTACTTGAAGTATGATTTATAAAACATTGTGATCCTTCTTTTTTTTGTGATTACTCTCACCTAATTCTTTGGATGTTTTTTGAAAGTGTAACTAACTATGTCACTTTGTTATTTGTCAGGGATATCACCATTGTGTTTCCAAGTTTTCTTTTCAAATAAAGGAGGCAGAAATTTAAAGGCCATGCTTTTGTTATCTTGGCATCAATGTTAATAAATGTTAATTAGAAATAAATTCTACAATAGAAACTGTATGTGGATAATTATATGTATTAGTTATGTATTAGAAAGTGGTTTTTGTATTATAATGTATAGGGAATAAGTTAGTGAAGTAATGTGTTCACATTATAATATGATTTTTAAAAGATACAATAGATATTATAATTATTTAAAAGTGTGATGAAAGATTTTAGAAATTTTCTTGTAATAATTATTTTAGTGTTAGACTTCATTTTACATTGAGATTGACATATCATGATAAGTTCAGAAATATAACTCGGTACAGCTTAACAGTATAGCTTGACAAAGTTTAGTATACAACTCGGCAAAACTTGACAACACAATTTGATTACATATCACTCAGAGCTTTTATAGTCGTTATCCTTGTTTTCTATATTTTCTTCTTGTTCTATATAAGTTTACATAGAATTAGATACTATATACAATATACCCTTTTAGTTTTTTTCAATAATATTCAAGTTTTTTGCTTTCTTCTCCCTTTGTTTCTTTTTTCCTTCTTCACCTTTCGTTTTACCATGGTAGCCTGATACTTCATGATGAACTTAGAGTTCTTATAGAAGAGCTTTGTTACGCTTGCTCTATTTGTTTCTTTTCTTCTTGTCTTCTTTTTCTTGATCGTTGTTCTTTTTCTTTATTTGTCTTAATATCATGGCTATGGAACAAACATAAGTAACTAAAGCTATTGCACCAAGTTACCTACATTTACATCCCAATGAAAACCCAACTATTTCTCTTGTTTCTCATGTTCTTGATACAAGTAACTACCACTATTGGAGTTGTTCCATAGTCATCGCACTCTCAGCAAAGAATAAGGTTGAATTCATTCTTGACATGACCCCCCAACATGACAAAACACATGTTCTTTTTCCTGCTTGGTATTGCTGCAATAACATGGTGATTTGCTGATTCATTCTGTCTCACCTTTGATATGTGAAAGCATTGTATGGATGGACCAAACTCTCAATATATGGAACGACCTCAAGAACAAATTTTCATAGAGAGATCTTGCAAGAATTTTAGACCTTCAGATGGCGACTACCACTCTTTCTTAAGGAGATCTCTTGGTTACATATTACTTCACTCGTTTACAGGTTTTATAAGATGAGATGAACAATTTTTGCCTAGATCCTACGTGTGTATGCAAAAAATGTACATGTAATACTTCCTAAATTGTCACACAATGCAAATGTGAAGATAGAGTTATACAATTGTTAAAAGGATTGAATTATCAATTCTCAAATATTAAGTCTCATGTTCTTCTTCTAAAGCATATCCACCTATTTCAAAGATTTTTTTTCTCTTATTCTTCAACAAGAACGTCAACTCATGGCAGGACACATCTTGACTATTATTTAGCATAATAGTTCTTCCAACTCATGGCAGGACACATCTTGACTATTATTTACTCATGTTGGTCACTCTGAAAATACATGCATTAAAAAGGATGAGTTTTCTAACCAAGAAAACAAATATTTGAAAAGCAACAACACACATTCTTCCTCACATAAAATTTGCACCTATTGATACAAGATGTTCAAACCAAAGAGAGGATTGATTTGATTAAACCTCAAGGCGACTTATACATATTGTTTTGCATGTTTTATTATATTTGTCAATACTTGCAACAATAATTCTTGTAAATTAATAACCTATGGCATTTTGACCTAGGACATCCCTCTAGCACTAGATTACACATTTTGCAATCTAAATACTCGTACATTACAACTCATCACGTTGATGTTTGTGATGCTTACCATCGTGCAAAACAAAAAAAAACTACCATATTATTTCAGTACATTTAATTCTAAACAACCTCTTGAATTGCTTCATATAGACATATGAGACCTTGTGTTCCTTCTTTGAATGGTTCAAAATATATCTCAAGTATAATTGATGATTTCATTCATTTTACTTGGATGATCCCTGTTCCTAACAAAGCCTTAGTTAAGAAACATCTCATTATTAACAATGTTGAAAATCAATTTGATTCCAATATCAAAATCATACATACTGATAATGGTGTTGAATTCTTAACCTCACAACATGTAAAATTTACGTTTCTTGTAAAATAGTTTTCCATGAACATAATTTCCAATATAAATAAAAACATGATACCAATAACTCTCTATCTCTTATCTCTTCCTGTACCAACTCATTATAACCATAATTATGATGACATTTTTCACCCTTCTAACATCACTGATAACCCTCCTTTGCATGACACATCTAATACTACTACTATTTGTCCTCATGAACAACTTACCTTTAATAATTCGTCAATTAACCCACCTATTGACATTTATAGTGATAACAATTCAAATCCTTTTGTTGATCTACTAGACAATTTAAAACACCTACACACCTTCATGATTTTCACACAAATGTTATTTCTCGATAGCCAATAACAAATTATATATCATATGATAATCTTTTGATCCCTTCAAACATACTATCATGAATATTTCTTCTATCATGGAACCACAAACCTATATTGAAGCATTTATACACCCTAAATAGGTTGCTACTTTGAAAGCCAAGCTTAATGCTTTACATGCCAGCAAAACTTGGATTTTAACAACTCTTTTAGACAACAAGGTTGTTCTAGGATGTCGTTGGATCTATAAAGTTATCAGTTGATGGTTCACTTGACCGATACAAAGCAAGGCACGTAGCCAAAGGCTACAACCAACTTGTAGGAATCAACTTCATAACACCTTTGCCTAAGTTACTAAACTCACCACTATGTGTTTACTTTTAGCTCTTATTACCTCTCAAAATTGGTTCCTTAAGCAACTAGATGTAAATAACGCCTTCTTGCATGGCAATCTTGCCAATGACATATACATGAAACTTCCTCCTGGCATGCGTGCTACTTCACCTAACCAAATTTTCAAGTTAGTGATCTTTCTACGACCTTAAACAAGCAGGACTTCAATTGTACACCAAACTACACCTTTTTTCTTTCTCATAATTATAAATGTTCTTCTATTGATCATTCTCTTTTCCTAAAACATGATGGTCATCTAATTACCACCTTTCTCATCTATGTTGATAATATCATTGTTACGAGCAACAATATTAAGGAACTTCAATGCATCATTACTCTTCTATATTTCGCCTTTCACATAAAGAATCTTGGCGACTTAACGTACTTCCTCGACCTCAAAGTTGCTTGAAACTTAAATGGTATACACCTAAGTCAAGGAAAGTATGTTCTAGACTTGCTTCATGACACTGACATGCTCGATAGTGCTCTTATTAATACTCTTATGGTTCTAAAACCATCATTGTCTTCAACTAACCAACCTTTTGATGATACTGCCTCCATTCCATATCATCGACTCATCGAGAAATTAATTTATCTCACTACTATTTGTCCTGACATCATCTTCATCGTTCACTATCTTAGCCAGTTCATCTCAAATCCAACCACCTTTCATCAACAAGCAGCACACCAAATTTTACTTATCTAAATAGTTGTTCTGGCTCTGACATTTTCTTTCATAGTAAATCAATTCTTCAGTTTAAAACTTTCAATGATTTTGACTGGGCAACATGCCCCGACACTCGCAAATCTATTACAAGTGTTTTTTTGTGACTCTCTTATCTCCAAGAGATCAAAGAAGCAACAAATTATTTCTCAAAGTTCATCTAAGGCTAAATATCGAGCCCTCACAACCACCACCTACGAGCTTCAATGACTGGTCTTTCTTCATCAAGATTTTTTAGTTTATCTTCAAACTCTTGCTCTTCTCTAGTGTGACAATCAATCAACCTTCAAATAGCCTCAAGCTTGGTATTCCACGAACGCATTAAGCATAATAAGATAGATGGTCTCATTGTACGTGATAAAGTCATCAATGGCTTCCTTAAATTACTTCTCATATCATCCACCCTTCAAATTGCCAACATCTTTACAAAACCTCTCCACCATACCACTTTTCACGGTCTTCGTTTCAAACTGGGCATGTATAATATATATATATATATATATATATATATATATATATATATATGCCCAACTTGAGGAGGCTGATAAGCTCATAAACACATATCATCAACATAGTCTAACAAATAGCTAGGCAAAGCTAGATGCACAACTCAACAAAGCTCGACAGCACAACCTGACACAGCTCAACAACTCAACCCGACACAGCTTGACAATACAACCTGACTACGTACTGCTGAAAACTTTTATAATTGTCACCCTCATTTTTCCCATTTATGTTTTTTCTTCCTATTCTATGTTCACATAAAATTAGATATTGTATATACATGCACGCTTTTAATTCTTTTCAAATATTAAAGTTTTTGGCTTTCTCTTTTTTTTTTTTTCTTTTCTCTTCGGTTTTTTTACCATGATAACATGGTACTCATGATACCATTTCATTGTATCAATTTAATAATAAAAAAAATCTCTCAAATAGATTGACATTTTTCAAGTTTGACATTAGAGTTTTGTATATTTTGAAAGATTTGTTTAAGCATTTCTTCATTCTTGTCTTAGTTGTGGTTTTTCATAATTTTAGAATTTTCTTAGGGTGGTCAAAAGTGTACCCAAACTTGCGATTTATAATCATTGTCATAAAACGTTAGCTTAAGATGAAAATATTATTTATAACATATGTCCTACAACATAGTATATAAAATATTTTACTACCATAAAATTATTAAATAAATAAAAAATTAGAGACACTCCTTATATAATAATATAGAGACACCCCTTGCACAATACTCCTTATATAAAAAATGTAGTGAATATTTTCGTATAAAAGTTTTATGCCTTATTTTTTTATAATAAAAACTAAATATATAATAATACAGAGACACTCCTTGCAATACTCATTCCTCATTTCACTTTATTCTCTCTGTGCATCTGATTCCAAAAATTGTGAAGAACTGAGAAGCAGGAGAAACGATGGCAGACAAGCCAAGTCGATCGCTGGTCTTATTCGGCGATGGATTTGCTCGTTTCGTTGATTCATCGCACTCCCACCTTCACTCTCTCGCTTCTGTATCTTCCTGCGGTTTCTTGAGTCTCCCGAATTCTCCACCATCAGGTTCCCTTATTCTCAATCCACACCCTCCATGTGTTTGTTATATGCCCAACATACTTTTCAATTTCTTTTCTCCCATTTTTGCTCCTGCCACATTCAAATTCACTTGGATATGTAGTTTTCAGAAAGCGGGGATGAGAGGGCAGTTAGAGAATTTGCAGTGCTGCTGGATGCATGTCATACTTATTCTAATATGGTGAGACCCATTTGCTCAAGTTTTGGTTTTCTCTTTCATCGTTGTGATATTCTTTCATTCCTTTTTAGAAGGGGGAAATCAGTGATGGTGATAGCCATGAGGATCCACCAAAACAAACCTTGTCTGACAGGTATTTTCTTTATTTGTTTTCTATTTTCAATTTTTTGTTTGTAAATGTTAAATTAATCCATTTTTGTTCTGTGGATAAACTTCCCTATAGTATTTATAATTGCTTGGGTCATGTATGGATTTTTAAAAGAAGAAAATAACAAGGTATTTGAATTAAGTTTTTCCGGTAAGTTAGAATTAGTTCGTGAGCAAGTTAAAATGAGTTTTTGAAAAAAAGTTAAATGAGATAGTTTCTATAAAAGATGAAATTAATGAGATGGTTTTAGCTTATATGAGAAACTCAGCTTATTTTACCTTTTTTATTTTCTTCTTTTGCAAGTGTTTACTGAGAAGATATCCAAACAGGGTCTTGATCTATAGGTGACACTCATTTAAATATAAAAAAAAGGTTAGAATTTTGTCCTTAGAAGTTAAGGACTAAAAATTTAGTTTTTAAGGGTCTAAGACGTAAGAAACATAAGAACAACAAGGAACCATTTATACTAAATAAGGGACTTGTATTACAGGTACTAAAACTTCAGTTTTTTCAGAGGGACTGATTCTTAAATGTGTCATCTCTAAGAATCAAATGATTGTTTTAAATAGATCAAATAAATGGTTTCTTTTTCCAAATACAGGTTTATGGGAATGAAAGCTGCTATTTTGACCAACAATTCAAGCTTGAAGTCTTTTAGTGCCAAACTTGGATTTAGTGTGCTCCAACTGAACGAGTTACTGGGAGGTCGTTCTGCTGAGGTTGTGGCCCTTGAGCTGCTCAAGTTGCTTGGCCTTGAAGAAGGGAAGGTGCTGGACAATGACCATTATGATCTTGTTTTCTTTCACGTTGGAGCTGGTGAACAGGAAGTGGTTGCTGCTGATGTGGGGTATTTGGATGCTTTGGTTGGAGGGATAATGAGTCAAGCACAGCCCGGATCTGACATCGGTTCACGTCTGCATTTGTCCGCTGTCATGAGCTATGGCAGTGTCTTGGAGGGTGACGATTCTAAGTTTCCTGTTTCAAAGAGGGTTGATGAGAAGAACTCTCATCTTTCCGTGCTTTATCCTCTACAAAGTTACGGTATGAAAGGAGGGATTCCTCGAAAGGATGTAAGGTAATTAAAGCAACATTTAGCACATGGACAGAATGAAATAGATATTTCATTTTTCCTTGGTTCTATGCTTTTAGGTGGAACCAAAATGGATAAATTTTTTACCTTTACTGTGTTCTTTTATATTTTCAAAATATGCTAAACATAAATAGAACTCATCTTATGATATGCACATGTCAACCAAATACTACCTAAGTTATAGTAATTGAAGATTAGGAATATTTGCTTTCTCTTTGGATTGGTTTGATTATTATCTCATATGAAATGATACAGGTCATTTTCTCCCATGTTAATTGCCCAATGGCAATATGCTGTGACTCGCAAGGATAATGCAGAGAGATTTTCTTTTGAAGACTTTATGGAGGTGTGCTTAAAGATTTTTCTTCATGTTTTATTCACAATTGAGGAATGATTTTTCCCTATTAATGTTTCTATTTTTGCTCTGCCTGTTCGTGATCTATTTCTTGATCTTAAAGATGTCCTGTCCTATCTACACAACCTAACAGACTTCAATCTTTAAAACTTTCGTGTTTACTTGAGTGTTCCCTCTAGTATACCATAATTTTTTTTTATTCGGCAAGTGTTTACACTTTTTGTGAAGTATCATGGTTTGAGTTCTAACCATTATGGAATACACTTTTTGTGAAGTATCATGGTTTGAGTTCTATCCATTATGCAATTTTCGTAGGCTTGTCACTCGTTTAAGCTACCATGTAATTCATGTTACTCAATAATGTTTGCTTCACTATTTCTCTCTTTTCTTGCCATGCAGCGGGGTGGAAACCTTACAATACCGGCAGATAGGTTCTTGCATGAGATAGCCTTTAAGCTTTGGAAAGCTCCCAAGTATGGAGCTTGATTTCTTTTTTTGTGTTCCTTTCTAACTTTTTTGTTGCCCACTTGTCACAACAGTATAGCTATTTAAAAGTTCTGATTAACAAGTATACTTCGGGCTCTAAAGTCCAGACTATGTTGCATGATGCAAAAACTAATAAGATCTCGATGATTGAACTATACACATATCCACTCATTATTTTGTTGTGTATGTTTCTTTTTAGTAAATATAAAAAGATTATTGTTGGCAATCTTTTTTTTTTCTAATGAAATGTAGTTTTAAACGTTTTACTGAATGATTTGAATATAAGAGGCAGTGACTTGAGTATAAGTACTGTAGAAGCACTGGTAGAGATGACAATGGATATTGTTTTGATTTGATAATATACAAATAGAATTGCCTTCTTATTGGTGTGATAAAATAGTAGAAAAATAGGTGACATACTGTGGTTTACAATTTTGCCTTCAACTGAATCATCACAAACTTCGCAAAATAATCTAAAAGATGATAATATAAATTTTCTAATGCACCCCTCCAATATTAGGTTGTAATTATTAATTAGGATTGTCAAGATGGTTCATATGAAGAATCTTTCACAATATAGGAGGTCTTGCGGGGTTTATGATATTTTTCATGATTTTCTTTCCTTCTCATTTTCTTGTAATGATAATAGTGAGTCTAATCAAGTTGATTAAACAATTAACTGTAACTTTCTTTTTTGAGTGAAATAATATAAATCTTTGACTATTTTTTTCTTCTCTTTACTATTCACTCTTTAAGTTTGGTTTATAATTATGTTTTGATAAAATGGAAGTGTAAAGAACAATATGTTGTTGACATTTTTAAAATTTTGAATATTTGGTTTTAGTTTTAATGTCTAATTGTGAAAAACTTTTGAAATTCAATTTACTATCTCTTGAAGTCAACCATTCTTTCCAACAAAGATGTCATTCTATATATAATAATATTAGGCATTAAGAATAATATCACTTTAGTAATGGATAAGTACATTAACATTAAGCACTAATGTATATATGGTTTCAACTAAAATTTGTTGTTCCTTTGTCATATTATTTGCTATGGTGTGAGAATAAGTAGATTGATATATAAAAATGTCATGTGAGCTTAATAAGGAAGAAAATTATTCTTTTAGTATTATCACTTCTAAATATTCTAAAATGGAGTTTTGATTTCATTAAGAAAATACATGAAAATAGATAAAAAAAAGATTAATTTGATCGTTTATTGAATAAGTCCAAATACATCTAAAATATTCAATAATTAATGTAACAAAATGGTTGAACCTAAAAGATGAATACGACTTTAATCTCAAATATATAGTAATGAAGATATAACATGTTTTCTTAGTTCACATAATTTGCCTCGTAAGATTTGAAGTTTTTTAAGCTTGTAATAATTTTTTTTTCAAAATTTTGATAAATGTGAGTGTGTAACATCCCACTAAAATAAATATATACAAAATATTAATACATGTTAAGAATATTTAAGTTATTAAGGATAACTTTGCTTAAATGATATAAACTAGATAAATAAATTAGAATGAGACAAATTAGAGGATTAGAATATGAGATAAATTATTTCTAAACAGACAAAAATATTAAAATCATATATTAGATGTGAAAAATCCAATTTGGAAGAGTAATGAGAGACGCAAATTAATAAGCAAAAGGTTATATTAGACTCAATTCTACATTTATATTTTTGACCTAAGAGAAAAGAAGATGATGGAAAAAGGAAAAAAAAAATAAGGTATGGATAGGATCTAAGTAAATCTAACGACAATAATATGTTTTTCTTTCCTCTTCCGTATATTCTATGAATTGTTTCTTCTAATATATTTATACGTCCGTTGAAATTAATCATGAATTCAAAATTTAGAGTGATTTTGGGTTTGTCCTCCAAATTAAAAAGAATATTTTAGTCTGTTAAAATTGATAAAATATAATTTTAATCTCTAAATATTAAATTTGAGTGACTAAAATGAGTTTTTTTAAACTCTATTTTAAAAAAAAATATTGTTTAGGAACTAAATCCATTTTTACTAAATTTGAATTATTAGAATGAACCATTTTTTAACTTGAGGAACAAAAAGGATTTATTTCAATTTTCAGAAACTAAAAATATAATTATACCAAATAAATCTGTGCTAATTTTATAATTATTAATTGATGATTGATTCAGATGATAAATATGTCCTTTGATGATATGAATATGATATGTCTAATAGTTTGATTATTTTTAACCAAATTTATCAAAAGAAACAAAGAAAAAAAAAGACCATGCCCAACTCACTCTTAAAACGGTAAATAAAAGAAAGAACCAGTTTATACTTTATAAAACGTCCCACAATATAGTTTTCATATAATAATTAACATAAAAAACCATTAAGGTTATTGTATGAATATTTTAAAACAATAACCGTAAAATTAATAAACTTAATGCGCACAGTAATACATTATTAGATATTTGTGTTAAAATATTTTACACGAATAGAAGTTCACAACGTGTAAATTATTTATGTATAAAATTTTAAACTATTTAATATCTCGTTAACATATTTTAAGATAAAGATAATATACTTTTTTTTTGTAAATAATAATATGTTTTCTATATCATTTAATTTTTATAGAATCAACACAAACAATTTGGATAATTTATATTTATAATTCAATTATTGAATTAATGAAAATTATGAATGAATTTCTTATAACTTTTATATTAGCATCAATTATCCATCCTAATTGCATAAACATACTTACTCCTCTTTTCATTCTTTAGTTTTAATTTTCCAAACAACAACAAATATTATTAGAATATAATGGTAACACTAGAATTGATATCATGAACTTGAAATCTAATTTAATTTTACAAAATCAATTTATAAAGTGAGATTTACGTTTATTTATATATTCTAAACCGACTTTATACTAATAGACATGAAACTTTAATATAATTTGTTTTTCACAAAAGACATTCCATCTTGCTATAAACAATAAATCTGTCAATACTTAAAAGAGATGAGAATCCGAAACTTGAAACAGCATCCTCATAGGTTGCATAACATCCTCATAGTTTAAAGTCTAACAAACAGCAAATACGCTTTCAAAAACTACTTGATGAACTTTCCAAAAGAGATAACTACTTCTTATTCCAAAATCAGATCTAAAACTGTTACTTGGTGAAGAGAGAACAAGCAAATCATAACCATTTAACAGTGTGATAGGTTTCCAACAACGTAAGTGCCGACCACAAACCAGAACATCAAAAGCAGAGACACCGATAGTAGTCCAAGTAAGAAGGGCCATCCAATCATCACAACTCCTAAGAAAGCAACCATAAAAAAAGGCATGAAAGATCTTACAATTGCCCAGAAACCAACCCAGTGACCTTTCAACATAATCAAAGCTGCTACATTCACGATGTTCCAATCCATTGATCCGCCGTAACAAACACGATTCAGACAGTTAGCCACAAACGAGTGGCAGTTGCAAGTGAAAATATTGTGAGTTTTGGTCTCGTAATCCCGCAGACTGGCTTGTAATGCATCATCCCATGCTATTGCAGTGCCATAATCACCATGTCGGTAACGTTGCTTGCATTTGTGTGCAGATAGGTTAGGAGGGAAGCAACACTGCAACAAAAGATAGTTAACTGAATTTGGTATGATGTTATGTTGCAAAACATGAATATATTTATAAATGAGAACAAACTGTGTAGAATTGGATATTGTATTTAAGAAACTACCTGTTGACGATCGAGTTGCAAGTATCTTGCCACCGAACCAAATGCAAAATTATCGACATGGACTTCGTGTGATCCTGAAAAATCTATAATAACTCCATCCTCCCTACAAATGCCAACGTGACCAAAGAAGGGAGCCAACCATGAGACTACCGGAAATGGATTCCAAACCAAACAACATGGAAATTTTGCATTGGTTGGATCAATTTGATCTAGAGGCCACAACTCATGCTGTGTTCTTTCTTCAATTTGTGAAAGTTCAATGTCGTAACTTGTATTTAACTCCATAGTAAAAGTCTATAGCACAACAAACTAGTCCTCTGCACATCCCAATTCTGCACAGTGAAAAAAGGATAAAGTGAAACAACTCTTTTGTAGTTTGATATACTTAATCCTGTATCAGGAAACCTTATGACACAAATACCTAGATTATAATTGAGTGTATGACTAACTACCTGTTCAAATGTCAAAGGTAAATACAGGAGGGAATCACAAATTTAATTTAGGACTTCCATGTAAAATATTGCAACATCACAGCACAAAAACCAACCACATGTATCCTTGCACAGAATAAATGTTTAAGATTAGTCAGAAGTATTCACAAGGACAAAGTAAATTTGGCTAAACATTTGTAATGGTTAAAAAATGAACTTTAAACCTAAGTTAACTTCACAAAACCAGTTTGTAATGTGAAGTTTGAACCAACTTATATATTATAAATTCGTTTTATCTCCAGTCAATGTGGGATCTCCAACACATCTCCCGAGATATTTACATCTCAAGTCTGAAACTAGACATTAATGAATGGTTCAATAACGAGTGACATAATAGGTCCAACAAATAACAAATCTCGCTTAAATAGGTTTTAACTCATGACTCTGATACCATGCTAAGAAGTGGACCTAACTCAATTATACAAAAATTGGTTTGTAAGTTGAGGTTTGCACCCATTAATATATTATAAACTCGCTTATCTCTAATTGATATAGGATATCCAACAGAGTAACTTGGTCATTCCACCACATTGCACAAGTCACTTGGTTGATCTAGTTTCAACACTTCAACTATCTCCATCTATTTTACCAACCGATTTATCTACTTATTTGTTTATTTAAAGTCTGCAATGAGATGTGATTGCAATATTATATGGTACTACAATATTGCCGATTGCTTTTAGATCAATCAAATTTGCAAGAACCAAATTGCATGCTAGTTCACATGGATCAATTCCCTAATAAACAGCTGTCTACAGCAACCTTCTTATTATGGACCAACAGCCAAGTGAAAAGACAGATAAGATCTTTAAAAATACAGGTGCACTTTACCATATTATCAATTTTGTAATCACTTTACCTTAATAAGCTAAACAATTCTCATGCTTCATGCATTTTTAGGTTATCAGCAGCATATATGATGTCCATCAAATTTTGACACTTCATCTCTAAGATGCACCAAAAAATAATAAATTTGGTTTTCTCATAAATTTAATATTACAATCTTAAAAGAAAACTTTCATCCCTGCACAATGCACATTCCTACATCTGGTTTAAACTTGTTCATATAACATGAAAAATTGACATAATTTTTAGTCCTATTACATAAACAAACCTTACTTGAATAGGTTTCTCTTTCCTTCCCACATTCGATCTAGCAACTCAAGAGTAGACAATGAGTATTGATAACACAGAAAAGTACACAGTTTTTAGAATAGTGCTTTTCTTACACCTATCATTCTCCTAAACAGCACAGAATAATAAACTATTACCATAACCGTAACCAAAGTGTAATTGAGATGAAATGTCTATATATATCAACAATAAAAAAAAAAACATTGGTGTAAATTCCGCCAAATGCTGGAAACCCCACCGAATGGAAAACACAAAACCAACAGTGTGCAATGTCAAACTAAAGACTCAAGCAGAAAGTCAATCATAACACCAACAGAAAAGACCATAGAAAAAGGGACAAAGTCAATCACCCATCTTTACCACAAAATCCCTCAACCATGAAAGCAATCAACTTTAACCCCTCAAAAACAACCCAGAAAAAGAAAACGAAACAGAAAAGCAAAAAAGAGCTTACCTTTCCCTGTGGGAATAGTTCTCCACTGTCCTCATTATATAGGCATGAATCCCCACATTGGAGATATCGATGAACACTTCAAACCGTTCATCAATGTGCATAACATGTCAGAAGAAGGAGAGAAGTTGAGAACAGAACATATGCGGTAAGGAAATCAGGGCTCAAAGGAAAATCACAAAGGGGTGTGATGAAATTGAGCAGGGGAAGTTGTTGGGAGTTATTACACTTTGATATGCGATTTATGTATGTTGGAGATGAAACCAACCACTTATGAAAAAAATCACAACACAGATTCACAAAGTCCACAAGCTATTATTCTCTTTCTAGAAATATAAATTTTAATTTCGATTTAATTATTATTGTTTGTTTCATTTAGGAAAATGTTTCTCGGGTTGTTCTGAAACCGAAGCGAAAGACGATATATGGGAAAGGTGCATGAACCTTTCGTCACTTTTCAAATTTTCTATCTTTCATGGTGGGTCCCTGTGATGTCTACAGAGTTCTTGCGTTTTTCGTTTCAACCCCAAGTTGTAAAAACCGGAACTTTTAGTAGTAATAATTGTGTTTTTTCGATAAAGATGTGTTCTTTAATAACATGGTTAATTTGGTTTTAGTCTTTTAAGATCTTCAATTTTTGAAGTTAACCAGTATTAACCTTTCTTAAAAAATACCTTTCTTTCTTTCAAGTGTGTTACATTATAGCCTAATTTTAATGTTTCACATAAAACTTTATGGGATTAATTGAAGATAAACACTCGTGTGAGAGTTGAGAAATTTACTATCACATAAATAATTTTGAAATATAAAACAAATAAGACAGAAGGTAATATATATATATATATATATATATATATATATATATATATTATTTAGTATTATTAAGTTTAGGAGATGATAGATGTGAAGTATTAGAAAATTGATCAAGAGTAGAAAATAATTTTATAAATGATACTCATATAATTTATTATTAAAAAGCTAAAGTAATAAATAAATTTGTTTTGAAAGAGTACATTTTATAAAAATATTTATCATTTTAGAATTTTTCTTTTTAAATATTTGTAAGTTTTCTTTCAAGTTTTAACTTCTTCTTTTATATCTTTAAAGATCCAAATACATTTTAGGATGTCAAAGAGCTACAAGTCTACATTATCAATGATTATCAAAATTGTAAGTTCTTTTTAAGTCCAATTCTTGTTTTGTTTGCATGTAACCTATCAAGGGATTGTGTTATTAAATAGTTCTAGGTGTTTCTATACTTTTTTGTGGTCATAAAAATATTATTAAATCATTAATTTGAGCCTTCTATGTGTAGTTAAAGTTAACTTAGGATTTGTGTCTTACGTGGAGCCTTTGTAAGCAAAGAGCTCTTTTTCTAAGGTAAAAGATAACTACTATTAATCTTTGTTTTTTATAATTGCTTGAAATTATTAATGACAAATGATCAAGTTATATGGTGGTTTTGTATGCATTGGGATTATATGTTTGATCTAACAGAGATTCACTGATTTTGAGGTACAGGAGACTTGTGCTGTCTTCAATATGTATGTTAAATTAGCTTGGAATTGCAAAATGATTGAATGAGAGTAATGAAGTTTGAACAATAAGTTTCTAATGGTATCCTTTGAAATGATTAGGCATCAAATGAAATTTAGAAAAGAGAGTAAAAAGTATTAATTAGAGCCAATTGTGAAAGCTAAGATGATGACATTCTTTACTTTTTTGAATTGACACTAATTATATAAGTCAAAGTCAGAGAGCTCTAAGCGCCAAGGTGTCGAATGTCATGTTGCACTGTTGGGCGCTCACTTCATAGTGAGCTCTAGGGGTTTGTGTTGTTGGTCATTGTCTACGTGCCACTGGGTGTCATTTGCTAGGCACCATTGGGCACTCGCTTGATAGTGAGCCCTTATGATGAGCATGTTGAGAACCCTTTTTGTACCATTGGGTGTCACCTTATATTGTATATCTTTTTTGTGCTTTTGATGTTTCTTGTATTTTTTTCTCAGTGTTTTGGGTACTATTATTCTAAATGAAGATGTATATGACTTGAAAGATGAATTCTTAAGGAGGAACGCTACTATCTGTTAGTTCTTTGTGAGGTGTATTGAGATCATCACAATTTTACTAGTTATTAGAATCATATAGACATCAATCATTAGTTGTGAGAGAGAAAACTTTTTATATAAAGTGTCGATAGGAATCAAACTCAAGAGGTATTGAAATTTATCTCATCTTACTTTGTGGATGAGATTATGCATACACTTTATAATTGGAGCTCATGTGCTGCATTGAGTGATGAAACATAGGTAGGTATAGGATCTCAAAATATTAGTCAATACATTACTCTTTCAAAAATCCAATATATAATTATTGATGTATGTTTATATTGAATGAGTTGAGTGTTGTAATGTTAATGGTATTATTGAATAGAATTCAATTATATTAAAGTTCCGAGTATATTCTCCTTTTATTTAAAACTTATAAATTTTAAATCGATTTTATCTTACCCTATTTGTTCTATTTGTGATGTTATCTCTTTGTAGTAATAATACATTTCACGAAAACATAAAATAACTTAAACATTGAAAGCGGTTTAATATTTCATATTTATAGTTTATAACATTAGAGCCACTCTTATAATTTCTTTTGAAATCTTTTAAATTTATTTTGAATAAAGGAAAACTCTATCTAATGAAATATATTTTATAATTTGTTCTTGATATAATAACATAAAGTCCTTTTAATAATATGCTTGGAGTGTTACAATTAAGATGTTACATCATATTTAATACTAACATTTTAAAAATGGATTTTTTCCTTTAATGAATTTTTCTGGTTCTTTGATAACATGCATTATGATTTGTTTCCAAACTAAAAAATAATCAGATAAATTTTTTTTTCAAAATGGATCGAACTGCCTCAAAATAGAATGGATTAAATCTAATATGAATGATAATTTATTAACTGATTTAAAATGATTAAGGTTTGGCTGAATTTGTTTTAAAGTACACACTTTTAAAATAAGAAAATAAATTAATAAGTTTTCTTACAAATTAATAAGTAAATTTGTAGATTTTTTAAGATCAAAATTTGCATTACGTATAAATTAATTTTAACTATAAAAAAAAATTGCTTTTCTAGTTTTATTTGAAAGTAACTATAATGCAAGTTTACACTATTATATACTTTGTAAAAATTTAATTATTAATATTTTAAAAATAATTATTATAAAAATTAACGAAGTTGTGGCCATAATTTATGCCTAAAATACCAACAAAAATCATTTAATCATTACTGATTTAATATAATAAAATATGCATAGTCTTTCTGAGCAACATATATTCACTTATTGTATAGATTTTATTTATAAAAGTAAAAATATATCTGTTTTCATCAAACATAAGTATGTAATATTAGAGATATTATTGGTGTTATTATTATTTAATTCATGTCAACATTCAATCTTTATTTTTATGGTTTAATTTGATAATAATTATTGAAATAAACTGATATTTTAACTGAAGATAATACCTAGAATATACTTTTATTATTGTTTTCATATTGTGAAAAGAACTTTTAATTTATATTATGGGTAAAGTTGAAACGGCAGTGTTCATGGCTGGCTATGGCTCATTCCAACACGTTGAACTGTGGTCGGTGTGAATATACAATCACTTCTTTTCTCCTTCATCCAACTTATATTTTTTCTGAATTTCTTTTGATATTTCATAAAAATAGCTTTCTTCCTAATTTTAATTCTGAATTAAATCATAATTTTATTTCTTGAACTAGTTATTTTCATAATTATTTAATTTTGAAATAGAAAAATGAAATTAATGTGATTTGGTGAGAGGTGAATGGTGGAGTGGAAAATGATGTTGCAACCTCAACTTTCAATAATCCATATTGGATCCAAACACAATCTACAATTAAGTTGACCAAAAGGTCGTATCTCGTGTCATTATTATAGTAATAATTATTATTTATTTTTATTGCTTTTATTATTATTATTATTATTATTATTATTATTATTATTATTATTATTATTATATATTTTATTATTTAGATATCTGATAAAGATCCCATGTGAGAAGTGAATTTGTATCAAAGATTTGTTAACACTTTTGTGTAGAGCCATCGTGAATATTTAATTGGAAAAAGAGATATTTCTTGATATGGTTGTTCTTCCTGAATCTTTGACCAACTATTTTTTTATAGAGTTAAATATTAATTGCTCCATGAAATAATTATATCAATAATGCTATGAAATGATAAAGAGATAATGAAAAGAAAGAGAAATATGTAGTACAGTGTTAACTATTTTGTTACATTTTTTGGTGTAAATATGTATTTTCTTACAACCCATTTGACTGAAATGAAATGAGAATGGGAAGCTCATTTGTACTAAAATTATGTAGCATTTGATCTAATATATTAGACTCACTATGCTAAATTTCACTGGGTTGTATATAGTGTAATAAATTAAATTAAAAAAGTTTAATTTAGGGTAGTTAGATATTCGATTTATAATTACTTGCATGAAATACTGATTAAGAAGAATTTATCTCTTAAATGAATCTAATCTTAACACATTTAAGAAATTTTATAGATTTATCTAATACAACCACAATTCTTTTTTTTTTCTTTGTCAAACAGAGGGAGATAAAATCTCAAAAACTACTTCTAAAACAGAAAAATATTATTTCATGATACCTTTTGAGGTGTATACATTCTTTGAATAGAGAGATGTGAAGGGATGACAAATGTGAGAAATGCAATAGAGATTTAAAGAAAAAAAAAAGAAGATAAATTAAAAAATAAATAGATGTAAAAAATAATATAAGGGAAACAAGAGAAAATTGAAAATATATAGTTATTTTAAAAAATATGACCAATATTATTTTCATTATTAGTATGGGTGACACCATATATGCTCATGTTCTAACTTTCTTGGGCAGCTTTGGAGGTGCTGAATGGCTGCCAATACCAGCAAGATTATATTGCAGGGGAAAACTTTAATTTTTCTTCATACCCTCTCCTTTCTTATTCTAATTTATTTTTCAAATTTTCAATGTAAGTCATTTTTTCTTTGGTGTATGTACTGATTTGAAGGAACATGCAACATGTGGTTAGGACTTTCTCTATTGTGAATTTCTTTCTCTAATAGTTGAAAGTTGTTCCAACTTAAATTTACCAATCACACTTCTCCATATATATACTTCTCTTCAATCAAATTAAAAAAACTCGAGCATTATGCATGCACAATATGTTTACTAGAATTAACTTCAACACAGAAATTATCTGTTCTGAAAAATACTTACGACAGAAAAAGGTTGAGGTTGTCATGAAAGACCATCTGGTATAGCATGATTTGGTAAAGCATACAATGAAAAATTTTAACATTATTTACTGAGGTAAATAATGATGACACAAGAAACTGAATATATAAAAATTAAATTGATCAACAGGAAAATAAAATATATAAAAATGATTACACGAGAAACTGAATATGTATATATGTTCATTTGTATCCAGATTTACAGTATACACATGGTGTGTAAAAGGCAACATAAGATATGTACACCTAACATAGAATTTGATACTAAATAAATGGAGAACTTATTCCTGCCAAATATCTACAATTCATGGAGGGTCCATTGTTGATGTTTTAGTGTATGGTTGGATACACTTTTCCATAAATACTTATGTAAGCAAAAGTAAGTGAAAAGTTGAAATAAACTTTTTCATAATCTAAATTAACTTATGCATGAGTTTAAAATCTGATTTTGAGAACATGCTTATAAATTAACTTCTGCATAAATTAACTTTGGTTTTCTTGAAAAGATTTATTTCATTTTTACTTTTTATCTTTCTGATAAGTGTTTAAGGAAAAATTTATGCAACCATATACTCTTACTATAAATGATAATGTATTATTGAAGTTCAGATTCATCACGAAAAGCATCTGGTTCAAATAATCTTGCAGAATCATCGTTGTAAACTCCAGGTACAACTCGAACTCTAGGTTCTTTTGATGTCAGATTTTGGTTCCCATCAATGTTGATGAGGATAATAACACATACAAGTAAAGAAGTTGCCAGACTTACAAGAGTAATTTTCAATCTGCTCAGCACAGGCTTCACCTTAAACAAAAAAAGTTCGTGGTTAAGTTAATTCATTAGGAAGATTACTTGAGTTTCAATGAAAGTTAAATGTTATTATTTGCAAAAGGCACAAAAGTCAAGATAGATACATGTTGTCTTCCTATTTTCTAAAGTGACTTATACAAATGAACAGCATAAATTTTTTAGAATGTGACTTATAAAAAAGATGAGAAGGAGTGATCATAAAGCTTCAAACAAATTAAGCCCAGGTCATAAAAAGCCTACCTTTTTACAGCATAATAACTTGATTGGATAAACTTTAGATAAATACTTTACAAGAAAAGAATAAAAGAGAAAATAAGAACTTTTTGTGAGGAAAAATTAGTTGTGTAAAACTTAAAAACTATTTTTTAAATAAATTAAAGAAATAACTTCTAGAAATTGATTTATGTATTTATATTATGAAAAAAATCATTTCACTTTCTTTCTTTAAGTCTGTCGTGGAAAAAATCGATCCAATCATATCCTTGAACATACCTAATTCACGAAGCTTGATAAAACAATCATTCTCTGGCATGGCTGTTTAAGCTAGTCACTTAAACATTAAAAAACAATTGTAGTAGGTCCAAAAGAAGAGCAATAATAATGTACATAATATTATGACTAGGGTCAGAGGAATCTCTAGCAATAACACTGAAGTTATGTGTAAAAGTGGCAATGGTTTAGTAGAATGCTTACAGAAAATGATCCGAGGAGTCTATCACGGGCCAAAACTTCAGCAGTCTTCACCCATATCTGTTGAGAAACATGAAGCCTTAAGTGGTAGAATGCAATATTTGTTCATACCACCCAAAACAAAAACAAAGGGAATCCTTGCACGAGACATTGCACCAATTCACATGACAAGGGAATCAGACCCATGTTTTGCAAGAGGAAGAGGCTTAACCGTTCATGTTTTGCACATTTTTTGTAAGGATTATAAAAGGAGCTCAACAAAGAACACCCTAAAAGATCTATGGATCATACTTTAGTATTTAGCATGGATAACTTATTGGACCAAATGAATAGGCACACACAATCAAATCCATCAACTTTTTCATCCATGTATTTTTCACGCAAACATCATTTGCTATATATCACTGCTAATATGTGTTAGTTTCCTTTATGGTAGTGGTGGGTAACATCAATACACACAGTAGTGTATTCTACAAGAATTGTTAGGAGAGCTGGGAATAATACATTTTATGCTTTGAGTTCTTCACTGGGAGAGTCACAAACCACTAAAGAAACAAGCAATTGAGGACCCAAATAACAAAGACCAACAAAGACGACACACTAGAACATTCAAGCTAGCGATGAAATTCATGGAATAGGCACATACAACAAATTATACTGCACCAAGATTTTGCATAAATGAGGCTAAGCATTCAGGGAAAAAAGAGGAAGAACTGAAAAGAACATACCTGACCATCGTACCACCCTGTTTCCTCATCTGTAATGTTAAGAGAAGAATATGATTATGCATCCATTAGCAAAGTTTTCAACACTCTTAATGGTTGAATCTTTAATTTAAGAGAAAACCGTAAGGAAAACAATAAAGTAGCTTATGTTACAAATAATTTCCTAATTTTATAAAATTCAAATTTCTTGTAATTCTTATACTCCACTTTATTTTTTTAGAAAATATTGAATCTTTGAAAAGTATATATAATGTGAAGTAATTAAAATAAAATAAAAAATTAACTTGTTTCAGGAAATTTCAGGAAGAAAATGAATTAATAATGTTACTACACAGATGTTATGGGATGAATTAAGTATTGGGAGTGTAAAGTTCAGTAATTATAAACATTTTTATATTATTAAGTAATAAATAACTATTATAAAATTTAATTAATTTATTATATGTAACTGCATGATTAGATTACCATAAAATAATTTCGTATTATTAGGACATTTTAATTAAATTTAATAATACACAGTTTAACTTTTTTGGATTATCAGTGTAAAATCTATTATCCAAATCAAAAGAAACCATAGTATGTATATAATTATTGTAAAAAAAATAATGAACTTTCGTGTATGAAGATTTGTGGTAGCACAATCATTTTAAAAATTATATTTATAACTTTTTATTGGTTGTAAGGTAAATTTTGTTCCATTGAGAATATTTACATTGTAAAGTAGATTTTTTTATTATTTTAAATTTGTAAACTCTACAATCTTATATAAATTGAAAATTACATGCAAAAAAATCACTAAAACACTAAAGTTGTTATATTGAATGTTTGACTTAATCTACATAAATTTTGTGACACAATGTTTTTTCATTGGTATAAACCCTTTAAACAATGCTGCTTAATTAAACAAGCAGCTTACTTTGGCAATATACTTCAAAACATATGCTTTAATATGCTTTAATGATAAAAATTTGTTAAGCACCATTAGATAATTTATGTTAGTAAAACATTACATATGCTTCAACACTTAATTAGAGAAAACAAAATGCTAAGAGTATAAAATCATAATCTAATCACGTTGGTATGGCTTTTACTTTAGATTTAAAGCTAATTTCACAATTTTTATAATATTTAAGTAATAAGTTATTTTATTTTAAATTAATTTATCTTTTAAATATTTATTGTAATAAAACAATTCAAATTTATTAAATATTAATTCTTACTTTCTTTAAATGAGATTTAAAATTCTTTAACTTTAAATAATTCAGTTATTCTCATAAAATTCAAGAACTTCAATGTAAAACATACATTTCTTTCATAAAAAATTTTAAGTTCTCTTTATTTTTCTTTCATAAAAAATTTTAAGTTCTCTTTATAAATGAATTGCCCACTTAAACACTATTAAAACTTATTTGGTTACACTAACGTACAATAATCAAAGTCTGTAAGGGCAAAATTATGTCATAAATACCTACAAGAGAAGAAAAACTACTAAATTGTTTTTATAAGATAAAATCAACTTATATGTTAGAAAAATTAATGTCAAAGAACTTCTACGAGAATAAAATAATTTTATTTGATTAAAAAATGTATATTCTTAAATAAGACCCAACATTCAGAGTGTTTTATTACAGTTTTCTTACAGCAATGGCTGACTAAAAACTTACGATTCATGTTATGATAGTTTGGGACGGGATCACAGGGTTGCACACTATGCAAAGTGACCTCAGTCTCTTATCATAGTCATAGGATAGTTAGATATGGCTGAAATTAACAAACCCTTCTATAAAATATGTTTCCTAAATGAATTATATTCTTAATTTTTGTATGCTTGTTATGAAGTTTGAACAAAACATGAGCTAAAAATATTTCAAACCTATTCTAATTGGTTTTCCAGTATCAGAATTGAAAGAATTCATGTAGAGTTGAGAAGTTAAGAGAGTAGAGTGAGTGAGGATACATACATTCAACGGTGGCGCTGAGCAATCGGTTCCCGACGTAAGCCCAGCCCAGATACATCCTAACGACGGCGAGCGTGACAGCGAAGAGGCCACTGGAGGCGGCGCAGAGGAGGCGCTTGAGGGGCTCGGCCTGGGCGCCAGCAGAGCCGAACCAGGCGACGGGGAGGCCGATGAGGAGAGCGAAGGAGGTACCGGTGACGAGGAGGCGGGAGGCGTACTCGACGGCGTCGAGGGCGGCCCAGGAAAAGGGGAAGGAGGTGGAGAGAGAGTGGTACTCGTTGATGGGTTGCTGTTCGAGAGGAACGGGACAATCTGTTTGGGGAGTGTTGTTGTTGCTGTTGCTTGTGGAAGAGAAAGATATGAAGGAAGTGGTTAGGGTTGTGGTGGGAATACGAAACAGTGGGATTGGGGAAAGTGTGAGTCTGCTTCTTCTAGATGGTAATGGTGATATGCGCGTGGGTGTTGCTGCCATTGCCATTGCTACTGCACTTTCCTCTGCTTCACTCTTTCTCTTCCTTTCCTTCTATCCATTATCCATTCAAATGGAAAAATATGCTTATTTTTATTTTAAATGCCTAAATTAAATTTTATCGTTATAAAATTAGTAAAATAAGTAAATTTATATAATATATGATATTAGTCATTCTTTATATATATATTTAATATTTTCTTATCCCTACATAATAAAAATTAAGTTCACATATGGTTAAAGTTTGAGTATTAGTTTTTTTAAAAAAATATATATAAAAACTAAAAGTAAATTTAAAGAAAAGGTACGAGAATAAAAAAAAAAATGTATTTAACTCGTTTCCAAATTCGGTCTTGTTGTTTCTAAATATATACTATATTTTTGTCTTTCATTTATTTATTTTTTATTCACGAACAGTATAACGTTTTACTTTTGTAAATATTTTATTATAAAAAATTACTCTAAGAATGCATTTTTAGTGCTTTAAAAATGATCATGACTTAGCACCACATAAATAGTTACCAAATATATAAAACTCTCAGATTATATTATGCTTTCGCAATCTACACTTTTTCCTATATGATAATTTTTGAAAAATGAGTAAACTTATATGATTAATTAATCTCATAATATTTGGTTTTCTTTTATCGAATTTTATGGTTTGAAGCGTTCTCCATTAGATCTTAACTAAGTTTGTAGCAAATCATATATGACATAAAAATTTGACCAACTTCAATCGTTTTTATCCCTTGGCATAAACCTCAAGGACTCATCTTCCAGTAAGCTCTCAACTCTCAAAGAGTATTTTCCTAACATGGAATTGGAATACGAAATCCTTCGTATGTACTATATATGTTAACATCGACCAAATAACACAGTAACGACTATTTTCAAAACGAAAAAGTGAAAACGTTACTGAAGTCCCATAGAAAACTTTGGCAATTTCGATGCTGTAGTCTGTGACAAATATCAAACAAGACATGATAGTCATAAGAGAGGTATACTTACTAAAGACAAACTCGAGCTGAGTAATAGAAAACACAATGTTTTTTTTTTCCTTTTTTTTTCTTTTTTCTGTTCTTTTTCTTCTGTTTACATTTGCTTGAGAACCTGAGAGATCGCATGTTTACAATTCCAAATAAGACCTCTACAGACAAAGAATAATTTTGTACGTTTTTTTTTTTTTTCATTTCAGTTTCTTGTTTTTCTTCCCTCTCGGGATCCTTCATTTGTACCTACTCCAACTAAACCTCCACTGCACTTATGCAGATATTGGGGAGGGACCTGCTCTTTTCTGAAAGGGTTGTGTCCACTGCCAACTTTCAATGTACCTGACTTCCCAGGTCAACAATCTTTTGATGTCAAGATGGACGAAAAAAAAAACTAGCTGTTCTGGTTCTTTGAACCAACAAACAACTTTTGGTATTATTACAGTAACTATGTTATAGACAACTTCGTTTAATGTGTTGAACCCGTTTTTGGGGCAACCATATGTTGAACACGGTAAAGACGAGACATCAGCTGTGAGAAAGATGGCCGCAAGTGTGGCTCCCTGCATCAAAAGCAACCCAAATAAAATCAAACAGCACAAACCAGTAGAATCAGTGTAACTTGAAATCAGATTTTTTTTTTCTTTTGTTTTGTTTTTTCTATGGTGAGGGAAGGGATGATCCTTGCTCTTATACTTTTCTAATTTTAAGAGCATCAATCCTTACGTTTTCTCTTTCAGGTTTTCTTTGTACTTTATTATTTTCTACTTATTTGGGTTCTGATGAATATGATTGCTTTTCACTGAAGATATAGACCCTCTAAGTATCAAATCAACTTATTCTCGTTTTTGTTCTCACGAACACCAATATAAGATGAAAATATGGAACCAAAGTTTTATTTAAACCATCAACAAATAACTAAAATCTAAAGTTTACTGATGCATATTAACATATCATTATATTTTAGTCAAAATCATAATTGTAAAAGAACATGAACATGGCGAAACTTTGACAATAACACCCACTGGAAATGCCCACAAATACACAGCTTTCCAAGAACGGTGGCTCTCATAATCCACATTGTAACAATCAGAAAAGATAAGTAGAGAAATGGAACTTACGTTTGCCAGCAATCACGTATAATCTGTGCTACTACTGGATTGACATCTTCTGGAATTTCAAGCCGTTTGTTTTGGAATCCAACAGCTCCAACAACCTGCATTGGGTTCAAACCTTTCCAGGGAATTCTTGTAGTAATCAACTCCCACAAGATCACACCAAAACTATATACATCACACCTGCATGAAAACTTTAACTATCACTTTGCGAACTTAGACATCATATTTGAATGGAGAATACACAGATACAGATTAAACTTACTTCTCATTGGCTGGCTCATTTCTTAAGACTTCCGGTGCCATCCACTCAGGCTGCAGGCAAAAGATATATTTAGTTTTTTTGGTAAATATTATATATCCCATAAGAAACCAACTACGGTGATAAATTGAGAACTTATATCAATTATGTTTGGTAAATATTATATATCCCATAAGAAACCAACTACGGTGATAAATTGATAATTTATATCAATTATGAATAACGAGAAATAACAAATTACCGTTCCAGCACAAGATTTTGATGACAAAAATGTATGGTGCTTCATTCTTGACAGACCAAAATCACAAACCTGTGAAATGACAAACAAAGAAAGAAATAATAATATATAATTTTAATAGATGTTAAAAAAAGGGCAGGGAAAAGGGTTTTAAGTTGTCATAAATGTGAAAGCATGACAATTCAAAGAAGAAAAAATATCGTCTTTCATCAAGCTTTAATTCGAATTAGTATGAGCAGAGTTAATTTTCGTACAACAGCTCTATGTCTATCACTTCTGGAGTTAAAAAGTGAAAATAAATTATTTACTTAAAATTCTTTAACGATTTTTATACACCAAGCACAAGAATAATTTAGTATCAAATCTACTGACATATTTTCTATATCAGACATAATGTTGGATGCCGGTCTAAAGCCCTATTAATTAAGCACATTTTGAAATCGTTTTAAAATATGCCCGGCATAGCTAAGAAAACTGTCACATGATCACATACCCAAAATTTCCTGGAAAATAATTAATTCAAAGTGCATAAAGATTAGTTAATACTTATATATGATTATATATCAAATGCAGAATAGTTATCAACAGTGCGCAATAGCAGCGCGAAGCAGCAATTCGAACCAACAAGGTTTGAATATTGCTTCAGTTTGGAATAATAGCTGCAATTCGAACCAACAAGGTTTGAATATTGCTTCAGTTTGGAATATATAATTTTGTAAGAATGATTTCTAGAAAAGAATGTCGTGATTACTTTTAAGTGGAAAAGTTATGTAGTTACTTTGAGTTCAGAGGTTGTGTAAATAAATTCAAAAGTTATTTTTATTTGTTAGAAGATAACATTTTCTAATTAAAAAACGACACTAAAAATAGTTAAGGAAAGGTGTATCCCCTTTATATAATGGTATAGATAATGTAGTAGTAATTTAACGTGTGTGTATTAAGCATAAAAATAAATCATTCAAATAATACAACTGTATCAATGAAATTTTATGACCAATTAATTGGACATAAAATAAATTGATACTTTGATATGTGCCTAATCACTAGGGGAAACCACCCTTAAAAACTAGTTGTTAAGGGGGGGGACTACACACGGAAATACTTTATTGAGCATCTTATATTATTTGATGCAGGACAGAGATACCTATAATACCCATATTTCTTCAATTTGCACATTAGTCAGAAGAATAAATTTGTTAATGCCGCAGAACAAAAAAACATCCATTACTCTCTACCAAACAAGCATAATTGTAACTTTTCACTGAATTCTGTTTCTCACATCAAGCAATCTATTGATATTTCTTTCCTTTTTTCAGCTTTTTGAAGTAAACTCCCAAGACAGAATTCATATAAAAATACCTTAACAATCCAATGCCTGTCAACAAGAAGATTTGGAGACTTCAAATCTCGGTGTACAATGGGAGGATGGCTCGTGTGCAAGTAATTCATTCCCTTAGCCTGGTAAGTGCACGATAAATTCACATTAAGTAAAGGAAATAGAGAATGGGATGACTGTCGAACTCCTTATGGTTCAGCATAAAAGCTTTGACAATAATAAAGCTAAGATGTGTCAATAAATATGCTGTTTATACAAATATTGGATAGAGAGAGATGCTCACATCACATTTATAAGAAAATCTCAGAGCCTCTACACTTGCTCCACGATAGAATTATATTCATGGACTCTATTTAGTGTTCAGCCCATGGCCAGTTGATTTTCTATATCTTAGCTGTTTCTAATAAATTCCTTATTTCTACAACCTAAAAGAAAGGGAAATTATTTTCAACTCTTACCACATCTAGAGCCATGCGCAACCTTTTCTTCTCATCAAGCCGAATATTGGGACGATGCAGTAGCCTATATAAACTGCCTCTGTATACCAAAAGACAAATATACTTTAACAAGCAAACAATAATATAGAAAAAATCATAATTAATTGTTTTTATGGGAGGCATAGTTGCAAGTAGACTAATTGCCAGAACAAAACATTAATAAATAAAAAATAAATGTACAAAATCAATAAAAGAAAACATTTCATGTAAACATAATCAAAGAGACCATTCAAGAAAATCACAAAAAGAAGTCCTATCATTTGCATTCCTGATTCAATCTCCCTACTGATAATATTTAACTTAATGCATAAGACAAAACTAACCTTGGAAGAAATTCGGTCAAGATCGAGAAATGTGGGGGCCGAGTAATTGCTCCCATGAAGAGCACAACATTAGGATGTCGCAGCCTTAGCATGATCTCAACCTACAATAAGACATAAAAGGGCATGAGTATTATGTGCGTATGACTGCATTATACATGTCCATATAGAGAAAATGGCTTACTTCAGATTTGAACTGAGCTAGTGCATCACCAGAGAAATCTTGGTCCAGAAACTTCTTTACGGCAACTTCCTGTCATGCAAACCATTCATGCAAAATTACCAAAATCAGTGCACAAAATTACTATTAAGTACTTTTAAGTCAAAGCAACAATGTATAATGAGATCTTCGTCTTTCCATCTATACAAGTAACAAAAGTTTCAAACAAAATCAAGATGACATAAACCAACTGGGAAGTGACATAACGGCCACATATGTCCATTTGCACAAGGAAAAAAAGTCTGCATATTCATATCCATATTTCACAGGCTAACAAAAGCAATTTACTAAACGTCTTGACAACCATATAGAAAGAAAGTGAAAGTTCAAAGACCTGCAACAAAGCCAACTTATCTAAGATAAGATTACTGCTAGACCCCATCTCACCCTGATCCCTCTTGGAATCTTAATATTGATAGATATTGATTTCAAGAATAGTTAACAGAAAAGAATTGGTAACTTGGCGGTGCCTTAGACAAGCACTTTCACTTCATAAAATACTATTGCATTTGTATACTTTTTGAATGCTTTTATGAGGATGTACACCCAGGTCAAGAGCATGGAATTACAACTTTCTGCACAGGTGAGACTTTCATGGACATTCTAGATTCTTTCTTCACAAAACTACTCAAAGAATAGACCCAATTGTAAGTAAGTGAAAACATTGCAAGTTAAAATATAACCATAATCCAAATGTGACATGAAACTAGAAATGGGCACAACAAATATTAATGAGCATTTTATCAAGGAGCTAAATGAACATTTTCAGATTATGTAATTTTAAGAACTTATATAGACAAAAACATTAGAAAGGACTTTGTTGATGTACTCAAGGAAACAAAAATGTGAGCAGACTTACAGTGCCATTGCAATCGGCACGATAAACTTCACCATACGAACCTACAAAGGCATGAGTGAACAGGGTTACGGACACAAGAATACATCTAAGATGAGCATATTTCCAATCAGCTTGTACTAGGTCTCCATTAATGAAATCTATCATATTAAATAATATATTAACAATATCTAAAATTCTAATTCTGTGTATATTAACAATTAAGCTATTATAAATTGCCAATTATCTTACTAATGGATGTTTTGTTTAAGCTTTAAGAAATTGTTTCATGATGCAATTTGTTTCAGACCTATTTTCACAAAAATAATAGTTTTAGCAAGTAAAACAACTTTTTAAGAGGCATTTACCTTTTTTATGAAAAAAAATTACATAATTATTATGAGAATTTAAAAGATAGACCTTTTATCAATCAAAACATGCCAAAAGTGTTGTTTTATTTTAAAAAAAGGTGAAAAAAGAGCCCATAAAAGATATATTTATACATGTAAACCCTTATGTCTTTATATAACAATTGTATCTAAAATATAACATTTGAAGCAAGGAAATACACTTACCAATACCAATACGCTCACCAATATCAAGATCCTCCCATTGAATTTCCCATTCTGAGCCTTCACCAAGCACTTGGTTAACTTCCTTGTTTCTACCATCATAGCATTCTCCATTAACCTCCATCTCATTTCTCTGAACAGCTGAATCTTTGCCCAACCCTCTGTTATTAAAAGAAACTCCTACATTCTTTCCATAGCCATTTTCATCATCTTCACAGAAACAACCAATTCCATTATCCACTTTACAGGAAAGAGCTGCCTTGGGCAAAGAAGATCCAGTACACTTTTCTTTACATAACTTATTATGTGAGTGTATAGAAGCCAAAACAACATTCATTGCGTTAGATTTCTCTAAATCAATATCCCTATCAGAAGCATGTAAAAACCCGTTCCTTATATTATCACTCTGTGAAGAATTGCAAAATTCAACATCTGTGTGCAATTCTTTTTGTTGTTCAGCTAAGCAGTCAGCTGATTGACATAACCTAGTATCACTGGCAGAGCCCAACCCATGTGAGGGCATGTGAGATTTTTCATACCTTAATAATAATAATCTATTTGTGTCATCTTGAACAGAATCAACATTTTTTTCATTAACTTTATCTACACCCCTATCCTGGGAATTTATATTTGAAAAAAGATCAGGCGGAGGTAAGGCACCACTCTCTAGTAGAACATTATGTAATTTTTGGGCAAATTCTGGGTCCTTTGCTGCACTGAGAACATACTTAGAGACATTTTTTACATGCATATTCTCTGCAGGTGATGGTCCTGTATGTGATGAGCATTCGTATGCTTCTGTATGTTCAAATCTCCTTGTCTCATTTACTTTAACATGATTAATTTCATCAGGCTCTGTTTGACTGCCCATAACTAATAATTCTTCTGTCCGGACTCTCCCCACTGTTGAAATTCTACCACAATCAGAAAAGACTCCTGGCGCACCAGTTCCATCATCTACAATTGAACCTGTCTTCTCTGGTAATCCAACAATCTCTGCACAACCCCTAACAGAAAAACTGGTGCTTTCGAGCTGGCTGCTGGGTACCTCAGCAGGAATAAGAGTTCCAGGGGCACCCATCATATCAATGATGTACTCACTGCATCAGTACAAAAATTAATAACAGTACTTGAAATTGTTTTGACATAAAGTAAGATCTGTACTGTTTGTGTTATTAAAAGTTCATTGCCATATGTGAGGAGAATAATACTTTGTGACCCAATTCCTTGAAAAAAGTAAGTTCAAACACACTAGTTGAAGTATCTAAATCACAAAAGTAACAATAAACTGCAGTTACTGTACTTCAATGATCTACTAGTCTGCAATAAATTAAAAAACCACTCTTACAAACTCAAACACAGTCACTTCAATATTCTATGCTTCATTTAATAATGTTTTATACTAATTAATTACACAGGTGGTGCCTCTTCCTCATTACATAAGGGAGGTAGAGTTTTACAAAGCACCAAAAGTACAGAACGAAAAGAGTGAAATAAAATTGTTTTTGGAAACCTGCCTCTGGTGTCTGGACTGCCCTAACAAAAAGTAAACATGCAATATAGAGTTTCTAAATAAAACATACAATGGTCATCATTTACATCAGAGGATAACTTAATGTGTCATGGAACTAAGCTACCTTAAAAGCAATATAATAAAAAGGGAAACAACTTTCTACCATATGGTAAATACCTTCCATCATCAGCTTTAATCATATTCACAGCCCCATCATCAGTTCCTGTATAATAGCTCCCTTTTACCAGCATGCAGGGAATGTTAATCCTATCAGCAAGTACCTAAGAGCACGAGAAGTCAAGTTAGCGTTAGTTGAAATCAAATAAATTGATGTGCTTTCCTGACTTTGAAATTGAAAGTAATATAACTAAATCTTTCCGCTAAAGAGAGTCAAAAGTAACTCACTTTAATTTTGCAGATATTACTTTTTTAATAAACAGAATAACAAGGGCCGTATAACTCCACAATAGAGAAAAAAAATGCCTTTCCTCATACTGTTGGATGATGAATAAAAATTGCACGAAAGCATTTAGTCGGATAAAATCTAAATTGTTCAAATTTGAAAGTCTCACACAGATCTCTTCAATCAATAAATGGAGAAAAATCTCACCTTAAAAAGTAGGGCTCGGTGACGTGAAAGTCCAACATCAAGACAGCCAAGGGGAAGAACAATGGTTTGCATAGAATCCCGTAACTCACGACTCCTCATAGCCCAACTCTTAGTAAGTTTCTCAGCATTAGTAACAGGTCCACCCATTCTATTAACAACAACATCCGCGAGCTTCTGAAGCAAGCCACTCAAAATCAGCCCCAGTTCAGAAACACAACACTCCTCAACCAAACTACACGCCTTCCTCTCAAGCTGATTAAGCTCAAGATCTACAACATGGTTCACCAAAATCACCTCACAATCGACATCTCCTGAGACAGGAGCCGTCTGCAGATCCACCAACAATGGCATCTTCCCTCGATCAACCAAATTCGAGGTAACCCCAAACACATCATAAAACCCATCCATCACTTTCTCATCATAACCAATCACATTGTAGTTCTGCCACAGTAACAACACCACAGCAAACTCTCAAAAACCACACTTTCAAAAAAAATTCATCCTACAGTTTCATTTTATTTTTCCTTTAACACTTATCAATAAGTTCAAAATGTCTATCTATAAATAGCAACAACAAACCAAACTTACTCCAATTATACAAAAAAAATGCAAAATTAATAATTTAAAAAAAAAAACTACCATTTACAGGCACCTAATTGGCTAATACCAGTTACGAGAAATAGAAAACGAGAAAATGCCTCGAATGGAAACGCTACTAGAAATAATTATAATCACCGTAATAATAATAACTAAATTATTACCCAATAACGAAGCGATTGAAACTGAACTAGGGCATGAGTGTCAGTGAACGAAGCAGAGTAACCGAGGCTGATCTGTTTTGCGGCGTCGATCTGCGCAGATTCCGCGGTGTCACGGCGATCGGAATCGGAAGCGCTGATTGCGAGCGCTAGTTGCATCTGAAACTCCTCCTCCTGCAACAAGTTGAACTCCACCACGTCGTTCTGCGCCTCCACAACGGGGCTCCGAGTCGGCGTCGGATCCGAAACTATGGTGGGCGAAGAGAGCGTGGAAGTGGAGGGAGCGTGATGCTCGTGCGAGGACAATGCGTTATGATTGTGATTGTGATTGATGGTGGCAGCGCCACCACCGATGTGAAGCTTTCTGAGAAGGTGCTTCATCTTTGGCATGGATCATCGACCGTAACAGCAGATAACGACGATGAAGAAAACGATGACTATGCAGATTGAGATTCGCTTAACCGCTTCTATCCACCCTTTCGCGTTTGCGTTTGCGTTTGCGTTTGCGTTTGCGTTTGCGTTTCGCGTTTTACCCTTAAACCGTTCCTTATTCAGGGTTTCATTCCCTCCACTTTCTCTTTACTTTCTCTTCCTCTTCTCTGTTTTCTTTTCTCTCTCTTTTTTTAATTTCGAAATTAATTATTATTTATCATTAATACTTAATAATTAATAATTGGTGATAGTTTAAATCCAATTAAATTCTGGCCTTGTAACTCCCACCACCCTCTGATGGGTTTTATAATTACAGTTGTAGTTGCTTCTGCGTTGGAGGTGTGATTGGCTGCGACAGCTCTCAGCCGTTGGATTCATTGACCGAGAAAGTGTTTCACATCGTACGGCTGTAAGAGAAGAAAAAGTCAAAGCGTGTGATCACCGGCAGAAACTATAGCCACGAAATGAGTATTCGGATTGAAATTTTGAGACTTCGATTCAATCGTCTTATCCAATCGTGTGAAAATACGGAAATATATAAATGTTTAATTTAAGATTAAGGATTTTAATTTTATTTAATGTTTTCTTCATAAAAAGTATAAGAGAAAATATATCACTAGTCACGAATTTAATCATCATGCATTAACAATACAAAGTACTTTTATACTACAAGTTAATTAAAAATCATCATGGTAAGTTGTTTGGCTCTACAATAATTAAATCAAAAGTCAAAGCTTATTCATTCTATAATGATTATCTTAAGGAGTGTTTGATATAAAATAAAATTTTAGTTTCATAAAAATAAAAAATATTTTCAAATATGTTATATAAAAAAAATAATAAAATGATTAAAATATATTTAGTTCATTACTATTTTAATTTAACATCGTTTTTACATGACTCAATAGACCTATTAAATATATTATAACTAATCTTATCAATTTAGTATTATAATTATTATTTATCATTATGTTATTATTTATTAGATAAGAATTACTTTCATAGAAATATAAACTCATGATACATGTTAGATTCAATAAATACCATTATATTTTCTGAGGAATATTTATAGATCTTAATTTTTTTTTACTACCTTAAGGTGAATTTTCTCTTTCCAATAACAAGGAATCGCTTTCTATATGTTCAAAACCACTGTTAGAATATTCTCATTTATCCATCAATTCACGCTCAAAATCCTGGTAACATAAAACATCATTTTATAATTTTATTAAAGAAAAGACGAGCAAGGTAAAATGGTGTTAAAAAATGAAGTGTAATTTATCCTAATGTTCGATGAGGTGAGAAGCTACTAAATGACTTTTGGACATAGAAATTGTCCTTTGACGAGCTTTAATAGCAAGTAATTGGAGAGATGGGTTAAAAAAAAAGAAAAGAAAATTATGATTTCAAAAAATTCTATTATAAAACATTTTTATATTATTCATTTATCTCTTTCTGTTGGTTTTTTTCTCATTCATTTATCTACCAAAAGAGCATATTCTTTCCATGTTATTCTTAGCATCGCGTCAAAGGTGTCTCTAGTAGTAATTAAAAATATGTTTTGACCATGCGAGCAATGCTTCTTTATTATTTGTAAAAATTGTCTGATATGACTAAGGAATGAGTCATTTTTTATTCTTTTGCTCACTGCATTGTATATAAAGTTCATGTCTCAATTCAATGCACCACGGAATTTTGCAGTTTACCAGGGTGCAGTGGTTAATATAATTATTTAATTATTTTGTAAGGTTAACATCTCTATAATTATAAGATAAACTTTTGACAAGCTTGAAAAGTGAAAATTATCTTCTTGTCTAAGTCATTAAACGTCTGCGTTAAAATCTAATTTTTAATTCTAACTCTGGTATAAGCTAATTTTAGTTTATAATTATGGAATAGTTTCTTCCAACCAGCTCTCACTTATATAATTGAATAACACAACATAATTTGATGTTGATGTTGCTATGCAAATTCTAGCAACAACTGATATTTTTAGAAAGGGACCTGGTTTGTACATACAACAAAATGTTGGCTATTTTTGACTACCAAAATGTGATGCAATCTCAGACCAAACCAATCTGATTGCAGCTATGAACATGTTAGTATATGGCTTACTGAGATGGTAAGCTAAACCCCATCATCACCATTCACTCCATCTTATGTTTTGTTAAGAAGAGAAGCCAGATTGCGAAGCTCCTCAAATGCATGCATTGTTTCTGCATCAAATCCTCCAGCAAACTGCATTCACAAAATTTACTAACATGTTACTAAATGCAGTTATGTTTAGAAAAAGAGAATAATGATTCTAGAAAGAGTGTTGTTACTTTAGTTACAAATTACAGTACAGTAATATATATATATATATATATATATACAGCTTCAGCAGGATGTACTGAGATACTGAAATAGATTGGACTACAAACCTGATGGATTCGAAAAGCAAATCTCACTCCTTGGAGAAGCATGTAATCCATTGCAGGATCTTTTTCTAATGCTGACTTTACCTGAAGTTCCATAGCTACCCTTTTCATATACTTTTTAGCCAATTTAACTGAGCTTAGCTTTATCTGCAAAAGTTGATTGTAGAATTAAATGTTATGTGGACTTGGTTAAAAAGCTCTAAAAGAAAGAAGCAATGTCAGATAGAACTTTACAATAATCTTGGTAGAAGGTTGTTGAAAAAGACCTATTTGCCAGCCTAATCCTTAATTTATGGCTCACACATCAATTCCTTGTATGCTTAATTTCATATTAATAAAATGGATTCTGGCACATTGTTTTTTCTGTTCTGCAGAACCAATTGCTCAAGAATACTAATATATCTTGAGCTCTTGTATGTTATAAATTTTTTACATTTTGCAAGATTGATGCACATTGCAGAGTATGTGTACCTTGCCAATAGTTCCATTGTCAAGCATCCATTCTATGGGAATTTGAAACTCCTTGCAGTGACGCATTAGTGACTCTCTTGTGCGAAGAAGGTTATGAACTGTACGCTCCATCCTGACAATGTAACACAAATGCGTGTGTTATTGCAAAGACAACTAAATTTAGGACTTCAAACACTTTTTTCTCTTTTTGCAGGGGTGATGCAGAATGCTTTTGTGATATTTAAGTAGCTTACTTTTCAGACAATGCAACCATTTTCTTTAGAGCAATATCACAAGGTAGACGAGGATCATCCTTGTAGGAGTAAACTTCAGATTCTAATTTCTTCAAATCTTGATACCCAAATGCTGCTTCTCTTAATGTGTCGGCTTTCTTCTCTGGCCAATCAAAATGCTTAAGGACCGCTCTCTCATCCACCTTTGAAAGCACACAATCATATTTCTATCAGATGGCAAATTTAAGCATAAAATTCAGAAATAGATTAATTCTGTGATGAACAATAATAACAATCACAAATTTCAATTCTGTGATGGATAATTTGGACCTGTTTACAAGGCATAATTTCAAGATGCACAGGTCATAAGAAAAAAGAAACTTACAAGGAAACACAGTTCATCATCTAGCCACTTCACAAATGCCACCACATCTTCTATGTTCTGATAAACTGCGTTCTTCACCTCTCTAATCAATGAATTCACAAATTCTCCCTGAGTCTCAATATCTGCCTTTATCTGCATATCAAGGGAAAGTTATAAGTCATGTTGATGTGAGGCAAAAAATTCAATTAATTATCATAAAAGAATTTCTCATGTAAGCAGTCTGAATTATGTGCATAAAGTGGAAAGGTACTCACAGCAAGCAAGTGTGATGAACGGTTTTCAATTTCTCCAATCATGCTGCTACGAACATCAGCAACATCCGGTGCATCAGATAGTCCTCCATTTGAAGAATCCTTTCTAGAGTCTCTCTTCATAAGTGAATGATACAATTCCACCACTTGTGGGGCTCTTTTCACAGTTGCTGTGTTACTTTTTGATGCAAAATTCATAGGAGGTGGGGGAGGAGGTGGAGGTGGGGGAGGTAGAACTTGAGCAGAACTTTCTTGTTTTATTTTGCTTGAAATAGAACATGAAGGTCTTGGAGGAGGATTAGGAATGCGTAGGGCCCTTTTCTCAACATCTGAAGAAACCAAAAGCTTGTTAGTTTCTTGGCAATTTCCAAAATATTGTGGTCTTTGGACAACCTCCACACCAGATTGTTGAAAAGACAATGACACTGATTCCTTTTCCATTTCCTTTGAACATACAAAATAATCAGACTGTCTTCTCTTACTCAAAACAACCTCTTCCTCTGAGTAGTTTGATCCACTGATAGAGTGCCTTCTTCTGGGGCTTCCCCCTGCAACATCTGATTCAATACAATTTTTCTCAATGAGACTGCCTTGAAACTCTTCTTGTGATGTTATGGGCCACTTTTTTGGCTTCTTCATCATGTTGAACCTATTTGCACTGCCACAATTTAAGTACCTATTGGCTTGATCAGAGAAAGAACTTACACAATCTCCACTACTGCTCACAACCGTGTGAGGACTAGATGGCTTATCAGAATCCAATGCTGAGCATGTGTTCTTCAACTCGTTTCTTAAACATGAATTCACCCACCTCAAGTAGGCAAGCTCTTCAACCTCATTCAATCTGCTTATCTGCAAACCTTCCACTTGTTTGCATAGGTCTTCATTGGTGACCCTCAGCAATGATGCCTCGGCTTTAATTTTGGCAACAACGTCACTCTGATCACAAAAAAGAAAAGGGCAATCAGCAAAACTCAAGCAATTTCACCAAGCAGCATTATATGTACAACTTTAACTTAGTTGAAGTTGGATGTTATGGCCTAGCATCCAGCTATTCACGTCTAACTATGATAATGTTTTGTTAACAGTGTCTAGCTTAAATAAGTTATCGTAATGTTGGTTTATATATATATAGATTTTGCTGCTTGTCGTTTTTGAAATGTAATTGAGCCAAAATGGTTACCAAAACATACGAATACCCTCTCCAAAGCTCTAATACTAGGTAGAGGATCCTATTAAATAAACATGCATAATAATTTATGCTTTGTTTGTTGGAATGTTGCATAATATTAATCTAGCTTTGTTTGTTAAGAAAACTACCAATGCTTCTACTGAAAAAGCCCTCTACTCGTAAGTCTCCTAATAATAAATAGATATTGTCTTTTATACATCAACCGTTAGATTTTCCTTTTTCTTTTATTTATGTTAGTTTTTTTGGGGTAAGATTACATTTATAGCTTTAACTTAGCTAAAGTTT